AACCATAAATGTTACATACAATGTGATAGCAACAGGGGGAGGGGGGGTGTAGGGAATGGGGGTGTTGTACTTCAAATGGGGCCCACCCAGATAATGTTGCTTATTGGCCTATTGTTGTGTCGTTACGCCATTGCATGCATTTCTGTTTAAGCCATGTTCATGCTTAAACAGCAAAATAAAGTCCATGTTGATGGGCTGCAGAGCTTCACTCATAAATTGGGCGGTCCAGGAAGGTATTTTTGGTGCACATTACTATAATGGGTGATTAGCTGGGAGTGATGGCTTGCAGGGTTAAGAGGGTAATGCTTAGATGAGAGGGTATCTATGCTAAAATAGTCTAGTCCAAGTCCTTACCTAATTTTATTTGAGAATCATTGTCCAACAACAGACCTCAATTTCAGCCAAAATCTGTTTAAGCTGTAATTTTATTTTTTTTTTTGTCAGTACTTTGACCAAAAAACCAAAACATAAACTGTGTTTTGTTTATTCTTTAATAAAAGCTTATGTTACTTGAGAATCGCTGCTGAAAAAAACCTTTTCAAAGTCACCTTTGTCGTGTCCCAGCTGCAGTGCTGCCACCTGCTTCCACAGAGAAGACGCTCTCCTCTGGCTCGGACTTCTCCTCCAAAGCCGTCCTGTGTCTGATAGAGGCTGTCGGGCGGCGCTGGGGTCTGTACGAAACCCGGGAACGCTCCCAGCTCTTTCAAAGCGTCCAGGAAGAGATGGCCTCAAAGGGCCACGTCCTTCCGGTTGAAAAGATCCGCCGCAAGTGGAACAACCTCATTGTCACATACAAGAGGGTGAAGGACCGCAGCCGGGAGACAGGACATGCCAAAACATCCTGGGAATTCTTTGATGTGAGTCAGGAGTAAAAACGTGGAAATAAATGCATCTATCACGCATTTTAATAAATAAAGCAAATCATTCCTCTGTGGATCTGTAGTAAAAATCAACCCTTTTAAAAAGACATATAATTACTGTTTTAATTTGAGTAACTAGTTAAAAGTGGAATTATCCAAACCTGCTGAAAGCACCAAATATGGATTTTCATTTAATACTTTCTGACTGATTGCTCTCTGCAAATAGATGTGCTTGTATAGAAATACATTTCTATTGCACATTAACGTACTGTCTTAAAGTTTTACCTTCAACTCAAATAATCCATCTAGTCAAGTGATGAACTATATGACCTACATGGGTTGTTTATCTTCCTGCCCATCAACTCTTTCATGCAACTTCTTCCATTTATCCATACATTCATAGATCTGGCACCCACCTGTCTATTCATCTACATAGTTGTGAGAATTGGGTTTGGTGAAGTAGGATGTTTTCAATCAATCAATCAATTTCTTTATTGTCAACTACAGTTTGCATTATAATCGAGATTTCAGTTTCAGTACAAACTGTTCATCACATACATCACATAGATTGGGGTGGGGGGGGTGACACAGGGAATGATTTAATGAGGCAGTGCCTGCCGCAGAACACTGTCTTTGGCGCGTTCTTATAGCTGCCAAGGGTGCCACCGTGAGGCGGTTTCCTATAGCGCTGCCTTTATATCTGTGGAAAGATAGGAGCCACATTGGGGAGGGAGAGGGAAAAAAAAGCATATTTCACACTTTATCTTTGACAGGATACAGTTTGAGACATAAAAAAACCTCAGCACAAGAACAACATGAGACAAACATTTTAGCTGAGGGTTACATTGGAGGCTTGAGCCAAATGAAAGTCAATCTGAAATTTTGAGCATCAGTTGTCTATGTATGAAGAAATGTCTTCCATTTGTCCATGAACGCTGTCCACAGGCCATTGTCCTTGATAAGATGGAAGTTTATCAACCTGCAATATAGTTTTGAATGCTGTAATTGTAGATACATCTGGTATCCTCCAAATCCAAACAGGGGAAATCAGAGTATCATAAATCCGAAATTCCATACATCTTCAACATGCTCCAGTGTCAACAGTGTAAAACACACCATCCTCCAAGCCTTTCAGGATTCCATGGTGTATCCCATGCAGTATGTCGCTGCAGGACAGCAAGGGCCCCATTTTCCCTGTTTTCCAGTTGAGAAAATTTAATCAATTGCATTGAGAAACCAGCTGACGAGATCCATTTTTTTTAGTTTGGGTGATATGAAGAGAGAGCTCAGAAAAGACAAGACACAGCGAAGCAGGTACAGAGCAGGGAGTTGCAGAGCAGCAGAAAAATGTGACCGCCTCCTTCAAGAGTCAGAACAGATATAACTTTTGACAAAACTTCTTATTATTAATTTAGTTCAGGCTCAAAACGTTGTTGATTGAAATTGTGGGTTTAGTACAGCATCTATGCATTTTACCATCTAATAAAACCAGGGTCCAAAATTAACTTTTTGACTCGGCCAATTGGAGCAGAAGATTATTTAGAATTATTTACCCGCCAAGCTTATGTTTAATGGCCAAAAAAAATAAAATAAAATTTGCTCTCATATATTTTAAGGAACATATTATTTCACTAAGGCATTATGTTAAATGCAAACAAAATTACTCTGAAGGGTAATGTAATTTTATTGAAAAAAGTTGTAATTTAGAATTTCATTCATAATTGCAAAATACTTTTATTTGATAAAGTGGCCATAAATAAAACCATTCAAAAAACAGCAAACTATTTTAATTTGTTATATTCTCCATAAGTACATGGAATGTGGTATATACTGAAACTCTTCAGTTTCATAGATCTGCAGCTAGCGACAAATTAATCGTGTCTGTTGTCTTTTAGCGTATTTTCTGCACACAGAGCATCTCATTAGCTTAGCATTGTCTTCAATAAGCCAGTCTCTTGCAAAACAGTCTTCCCAAAAGTGTCATTTTTCAGTAAACTTTCTCTTTGGGGGTGTGCTCTCTGTATGCACATCTGTCTATTGCCACGTGAGGGACAGACAGCAGAGGAACAAAGGGACAGAGGGTAGACTCGCCAAAATAAAAGATTAAAAAATTTGCCTGAAGCGCTACTGTGGTCCTAACATTTATTTGTGGTGAATGGTGCTCTGGCATTATCTCGTCATATGAAAACTTGGTTGCATTTGGCAAGTGGTAAGTGTTAATTCCGGACCCCGATAGAAACCCTTCAATGTTTCTAAATACAAATCTCAAAGCAGTATCATCCACTGTAACAGTGATGTCAGTTTAATAAAAAGGTTTAATGATTTTGTTGCTATAAGTAACCGTTCTTTGTGGTCTTTTTTTCTGTGTAGCTCATGGATGCCACCCTCTGTGATACTATTGGCTCGCAGATCATTTCTAACAAAAGGAACAAAGGTATCAGTACAGCTTCTTCACTGGCCATCCCTTCTGCAAAGATTGCTGCAAAACCGACGCAGCTTCAACAACCAGCTACCATCATCCGCCCCAATGGGGACTTTGCTGCCGCTGGAGGTTTGGATCCCGCAGGTCTGGGGGGTGTTAGCGGCCAGGTCATGGGTAGCACGGCTGCAAGTCCTTCACAGACTGCAACCACTGTGACTCTTGTAAATGCTCCAGAGGTCAAGCCTGTTATTGTTCTAAATGGCGACATTGTTCCGTCTAGCATTCAGTCCGTGACCATCCCACCACCTCCGTCTTTTATCTCTTCTCCATGTTTTACTGAAACAGCCTCAGCATCTTCCTCTCTGGGCTCAGCCAGCAGCACAGATTTAAGTGCGTCGGTCTTGAAAACCCGAAAAGCTCCAAACTTCACATCCGGTGTCACGTCCTTCTGCCTCAGTACGACGCCGCTTAGCCACACTCAGAACATCCTTGGCCTGTCTTCATTCTCCCCAACGTCTTCCTGTCACACCGCTTCCAGTGCTGCTTCGCTGTCGGCGACAGTAATGGCAGGAACCGAGGGGCAGGACCAGAAGGGAAACAAGGAGCAAAGCAGCCTTGGGTTGTTTCAGGAGGTCCTGAAGCGACAGGAAGAGCAGGGCTACCTGGAACGGGTGGCTCGGCGCAGGGTGGAGGCCAGAGAGAAGAGACGGGAGAGGAGGGAAGTACGGATGACGGAATCACTCGGAAGGATAGCCACGGCGTTAGAGCTCCTCTCCTCCAAACAAGACACTATCATCGCGCTCCTGCAGAGACTAGCCGATCGAAAATGAGGAACTTTAAGGCACGAAAAAATTGTTTAAATATTTTGATCTTCTTTTGAAACGTGCTTTATAAAGTTATTCTCCTCAAAAATGATCTGGAATATTATTCTGAAAAAGTTTTACTTTACCCTCAAAAAAATATTGTGTTAATAAAGTGTTGTCATGTACTTAACATTTCAGTTTGATGTCCTCATACTTTCAATGAATACTTTACGTGCACTCGCCATCGACAGGAATTCATTCTGAGCCTGGGTATTTAACCACTCTTCTTTGCAGAGTTGGTTTAAATTGGTTTCTATCCCCGGATGGACATTTAAGCATAGATATACCTTTTTTAATGGGGTAAAGGGTTTGGGCTAAGTGGGTAACTATCTTCAAAACCTGAGTGATCCTTCACAAAACACTTTTAAAACCACTTTGGCACATTTGGTTAGAATCTTCAGGAACAGTATAGCAAAGCTGAAAGGTACCGGTCTACCAGAAAGTGCTGGTTAAAAACCCGGCATGACTGTTCACCTTGGAGCAGGGTTTTACAGCACTAAGGCTGAGAGATACGACCAAGAACTACGTTCCTGCTTATTGGACATATTCAAGCCTGAATTAAATATCCAGCTGCCTACAAGTTCAAACCAAAATATTCCTTCTGGATAATAGATCTGTTTGTCCACAATGACAAGAAGGTTAGGTAGAGCTGAGGTGACTATTTCAAATTTAAGAAGACTGTACCAGTGTTCAGCCATGGTGGAGGCAGCATCATGCTGAGGAACTAGTTAACTCATTTGTGACAGAATTGTTAAACTAATTCATTCAAGAGAACAATAATCGAAACTAATTCAAATCTTGCACTAAGCTTAAGGACAGGAGTCAACATATTTTAAACTGAAAGTTCCCTCTTTCTCAGGAAAGCTCTACCGGTTATGGGGAGGAGTGGTTAAACATCCAGCCTGGGTTATCTCAGAAGAATATTCAAAGCTGCAAAAGTAGTTTCTTTGCAACTTGCAGGAGGGAAAAAAGATGTCAAAAAATGTCAGCCCAGGCCTTTTGAGCCGAGACAGGCCCAGCAGGTACTGATGGAAAGACAATACAGCCTACGGAAACAAACTTTCTTGTGACCGTGCTTACACAGTCTTTTTGGTGTGTATGTTCTTGTTTAATGAACTTACAGCATCCATCCAGGCAGCTCGGATTTGGCCAGAGAGAGGTATAATTTAGAAATGTTCAAATGTTTAGTTGACAAACTTTGACTGAATTATGTTTTCGTAAAACTATGTTCTCATCAACTCAGGGCAATCTGATGAGTAGAGTGAGTAAAGTAGCCTATGCCCTGACCTTCTATCTCCTTATTTTAGAGATCAACAAATGGAACAATAGAGAGGACAGCACTTCTAATAAATTTCAAAACGGCCTGCCATACTAATTCTGTCAAGCTAAGAAATGTCAAAACGTCCTATATATGGAGCCTAAGTTGTTGCTTTATTATTTGCAAATGAAAATTTGCAAACCGAAAATACTTCAGACATAAGCGTCTCTGTGTGTGCTTACAGATTGATCTACACATTTGCAAATCTTACTTCAGATGTGTAAATCTAAATAGAGATTTGTAAATCTCAGTACATATTTGTAAATCTGAATACAGGTTTGTGGATTTTTTACACATTTACAAATCTCAGTATATATTTGTAAATCTGAGAACAGATTTGTGGATTTTTTACACATTTGCAAACTGGATTACATACAAAGTAGTTTTACACATTTTCAGATTGTTTTACAGACAAACAAATCTCCTCACACATTTACAGTTTCATTCCACATTTTCAAATCCCATTACACACATATTCGAGATACAGATGAACAACTCTCCACACACGTTTGCAAATAATAAAGCAACAGTTTTGGCCCCATATCTAACAGCAAAAAAAGTAAAGGCGTAATGACGTAAGTAAGTGCGTAATGATGTAGTTCCAACGCGCGCGCGGCGTTTGATTGTAGTAGGCTGCACAGTTGAGCTTCGGCTGCTAGGTGTGCTTCAGTTCCTTCTGCGTTCAGGTGAGTTAAAGCCACACAAATACAAACACATTCGTTTTAGCTTTAACGTAATTAAACGTAGCAAGACACCATAGACTAATATGACCTGTTGCTGTCCATACAGCCCTGAATAAAATGGCTAAACTCTCATTAGCATCAAGCTAATTTGAATGAAATGTGTTGAAGTGGAGCTCATACAAAGGTTACAGGACGATATCAGCCCAAATGCTTGTTTTCATCTCAAAGGAATAATCATAAATCCTTGAGGGGTGATACCACTTTCTGAACACATTTTCTGATCATTTGCAACCCGTTTTCTTCTGAGCAGATGGCTCAAAATTCAAATAGCCAAATATTTCTTGATGTAGCATGTGCATAGTGGATACTACTGTTTTGTTTGCCAGAACACTGGCTGTTATTATGCTGAACAATTAAAGCTGACTACACTGTAACGTATGAAGTAGGATTTGTGCAGCACTGACAGCTACCCCTCTGGAAAGAGCCAGGAAAATAATGCTTATGCCTGAAATGTGACTAGATCGAAAATTGTTATCAGTATAATCCATTTTAATTTTTACATTTTACTCTGAGGGGTGGAGCAGTTGAGATTGCCATGAAACAACTTTCTATTGGTGTTACAGCTAATGTTGCCTTCCTTTGATTCGTGTTTTTTTTTTCCCTCCAAACCTTACCATAGCAGATCTTTTCAGAGGAATACAAACCCCACCAATAGGAAAATAGTGATTGGTATGAAGATATGCCGAAAGAGATCGTTGCTCCAATCCAGCTATGTGGAAAAAATATCTGGGGATGGAAAATTAAGCACAAAGCCGGAGAAAAATACAGAATCTACCCAAGATGTTGGGAAAAAGAAGAAAAGGAAAAGCATAGCAAAGAAAGATGGTGAGTCTTTGCTACCTTTTTTGTTTTTGAGAAGAAATACCTCCACGCATTTAAAGTAAAATTATCATGTTATAACCTGTCTTTAAGTTTGCTGACAATGATCATAGAATTAAGTTACACATTTTTTTTTTCTCTAGGAACCTGGTTGGTGACTTGTGAAAACAAAGAGGGAGTGATGGATTTAAAGAAGCTTGAAAGAGGTGAGCAAAAGTAATCGTACCATTGTGAAGAGGATTCTAAATGACGTCTTGGCCACTGAGATTTATTTTGACCAGAAGATTTGCACCATACCTAAAATGGGGGTTAAAACTGTTCCAGGGTTTCTGCAGGTCATTAAAAATAATTAAAAGTAATTAGATTATTATTTTTTTAAATCAAAGCCTTAATTGGCACTAAAATTCATTAAATGTGATTATTGTGGCATTTAAAATGCTTTATTAAAAAACCATTATAAAAACATTTTCATCAGATATATTATATATTGCAATATATTTGTGCGGAACTGCTTCCGGGTTGATTGTAAAGCCGTACATCCGGAAAAGAAGAGGGGAGGCGGAGAAAAAGCCAGAGAATGGGAAAATGCAAATTTCAACAAAAGTGGCTGTTACTTGTTGATGGCATTAAAATTATTTCTAAGAGCATTAAATTATAGTTACTCATTACTGTATAAACCCTGTGTTCATCAATGCACAAACTGATGAGCAGTTTGCTCAGTGTTTTTGTCAATGATGACAAAATTATTTCATTGACGCTCCTTTTTTTTCATGACGATAACAAAAATGGAAGAGCTAAATGTGGATCTTTGATGGAGAAAAACATAACGACTCATGGGTGTGAATTTTAGTCGACGAGACTTAATAAAAATGTTAGCCGGTCAGACGATTAAAATGCATCATTGTGCTGTAATCTGCTAAGTAGTGTCTGCCATGCTGCTGCATCCTGTTTGGTCACGCCCACTTGGCGTGCAACGGTGCTCAGTCTGCATGACCACAGATGGACCATGGCAGCAGCGGCAGGCTGACAGTAATCCAGACTGGTCCGGTACTATACGCTGAAATCTGACAAACTGCAGAAATGCATCTTTAATTTCTACCAAAAACAATCCCTAAATTATATCCAAAGCAAAATAAATATTATTGCATGTTTATGTTTGGATAAAGACCCAGATGAAAAGGTAGATAGATCTTTGAATATTTCTCTCTTATTGTTCTTGTTTCTATCTATTTGAATATTTCAACATATTAGTTAACATATTGAAATTTGGGTCCAGATTGCCTAGGCATTATAAGGTAGTTATGAAGGATCTCTGTATTTTTTTTATTTTTTTTTTTTTTATATCAGACCCCTTTGAATTTAAATCTACTTTGATCTCTCAGCAGCAGTAACCATGGGGTAAATTCTTAGAAATAAAGCCACAATTGCCAGAGTAGATGTTTTCGGTCTTTGTTATTTTTTGGGGGAGAATTTAAGATTTTATTGATCAATGTGTAATGCATAATTCATAGTAGATCAGGAAGTGTTTGCTTCTGAATGGAAACCTTGTTTGTCTAAAACCATTATTTTATGGTACATTTTGTTGGTCTGTCGGCTATATTAACTAATATGATGTGTTGAACTAGATCTGCTATTTTAACTGCTTTTGTGAGAGACTTTTTTTTTTTTATAAAGTAGGGCATTAATTCACAAAAAAAAGTTTATTTGAATTCTAAAATTCAACAGCAATAATGAACTGCATGGCAGCATTCTATACTCAGCTATTATAGTATCTATGCAAGAGCTGTCAGTCTGGTAAAGTATTGTAAATTGTGAAGGTTAACGGTTTTATGAAAATGTGTCTAAGACTAATAATAGTTTTTGTCCTGAAGACTAAGATTAAGACTAAATCTAGGATGGCTGTAAAAAAAACAACAACACTGGTTTTGCTAAAGCCAAACCATAACAGATCTTTCCGACAGGCTGGAAAGACTAAAGACGTTTCCCAAAAAGCTTTTTGTAACCTTTATGATACATGGTAAATAAAAGAGAAAATTATGTTTTTCATTTTCCTGTTTTTAGGTATATCGTTGGATATTTTAACTATGGGCACTTTCTAACATTTAATACTTTTTGGAACAATGTTTTTAAGAGTGTCATTTCTATATAATCTATCATATGGGTGTATATTTTAGGTGAGAATTGTATTGAGTGTGAGGGCCTGTGGTTTACCCCACCTGCCTTTGAGGATCTAGCAGGAAAGGGTTCCTGTAAAAAATGGAAGAGAACAATTTTCCATGAAGGAAGGCCTCTGGGACACTTTTTTTCTGTAAGTCCCTTTTTCTATGTTTTGAAGTCAAATTATTGAAATCTCAAAAGTTAATCAGTGGGCACATGTTTGGCCTTACAGGAAGGTATCCTTTCAACGGTTGGATATCTAAGACGAAGATCTGAGCCTATGAGGGTAAGTGACCATGCACTTTCTTGGATGATTATGTATATGTTTGGTGTTTAATTAATCTTTAATTCGTATAGCAGAAGGTGGAGGTGCCATTGAGAAAAGACAGAAGGAAGTCAACAAACGCTGTCACATTCCAGGGAACTAGAAGCAGAAAGTACAGATCCTTCAACTCAGTGACCCAAATAAAAGTTTCCTCAGAGATGACGGACATAAAGTCTACAGAGGATCCTGACATGAGTACTGCTAAAGGCTCTGATGCGTTGGATAATGGACACAGAAGTAATTTAGATGGAGAACAAGAGCCAAAACAAAGAAAAACTACTGAGGAGGATGTGCTTTCAGCTCCAGAGTCCGCAAAAGACCACAACACTACAGAAGGTGATGTGTCCAGCAAAAGAATGTTTATTGAAGTCAGAACGGACACCTGTGTTGTTTCTTTGGTTGCTGCTGAAATTGCCTGCAAAGGTGTTTATACAAGTTTCTCGTGTTTTGCCTTGTAAAAACTACTTCAACACATTTCATTGTAACATTATGTAGTAGACCAGGGGTCTGCCTGACCAGGCACTTGGTTTTAAAACTGTATATTAGATAAGCTTTACAGGAGGTATTCATAGGGCCTGATAACCTTTCCTTTTCTCAGTTACTGTAGAGCTCCTGAGAAATATTAAGTGTCTAAAAAAGGGGTGGTGGGGATAAAATGGGCTAAAAGCATTCAGAGGTCATCTCAGTCTCGGTTAATGTAAAGGGGTTTGGAGAAGACCTAAAAATTAGTCTTCATAGATGAGACCAAATTTTAAATGTTCTGTCCTTTTTCCAACTACAACGTGTTGCAGAAATCCACCTGCATAAAATGACTCTAGTTTGATACATGGCAGTGGCAGCATTATTCTTTGGGATTCTTTTCTTTGCCATGGGCAGGGAAATTAAGTGGAAATAGTTGGCAAAATTGCTGTTACGGATTACTTTTATTTTTTTTTTCAGCTGGGTGACTAAAGTGATGGTGGTCTTTTACATAAACTATTAAATTACGTTAAAAGTTGTTGAATGTCAAAATCTGAAATATTGTGAAAGCTCTGCTTAAGTTTGGTTTATATTTCCTGTCTGAATGTTTTTGTTTTGCAGAAAGGTGCTATGACCCCGACAACACTACAGCTGAGAAACGGATGAAGATGAAATCACAGCTAATCATAAAAAGGCTCTCTATGGTAAGATGGCAGAGAGAGTTATTTATGAAATGTTCAGTAAAAAGATAAGAAACATTTCTCTCACATCTCAACATTTTGCTCAATCCTTTTTCTGTTCTTGACCTGGGGCCAACTGATTAACTTAATATACATTAACAAAAACGCAAAAATCACCTTGAAAGCATTTCACATAGCATGCACATTCGCCCTGCAGGTAAAAGGCTCCTATGTTATGGAGCCTAATGGTCAATGGTTTCACCTAATCATGGTGGACATGGATTTATCAAGCGATTGAACGCGCCGTTTTCACTTTTATAAGCTCAATAAAGCTGTTGGCGTTCCTGGGTTCAACAGACGGAACCAGTATGGGAATACCACCTCCAGAAGCTGCGTCTGGATGATGGTCACTTTAAAGGTTACTTCCACCTATCTAGTCCCTCATTAGATTTCGCAAAGCAAAAGTAAACAAAAGTTCAGATTTTTAACTCCTTCAACTTTCGCTTTGTTTAATTAGCAGGCAAAGAGGCCATCAAATTTCTTCTTTGCCATGCTGAATTCGCTGATTATTAGATTGCCTCAATATATATTTTTGATATCTAAAATAGGTTATAGATGTTAAAGAGACAATTTATTAATGATTAACAGTTTATAAATGTTTCATAATCAATTGTAAACTAAACTATTTATAAAAGGTAAATGGCTCATATTGCCCTCCTATTTTTATTTATCCCTAACATCAGTGGGCTTCATGACTTAACCCTAAACCGACTAATTTACATTGCCCTGCCATGTTAGGTTAGCCCTAACCCTTACATTAGTGGGCTTAATACCTTAATAAATGATCTATTTACCTTTTTATAAATGACTTAGATACTGATTAAAAATGATTCAAATGTTAATAAACTATCAATCGTTAATAAATGTTCCCTATACCATTATTAATAAATGGTTTTGATGGTTATTGTAAAGTGTAACCCTTAAATACATTTTTTCCAAATGAACACTTTAAAGGAAGTTACATTCTCCTTTTCTGAAATTAAAATTCTGGATTTTGTTTTTTCTACTTTCTTAAAAAGTTTTGCCAACAGATGGGAGAGTTCTTTAAAGTCATAGGGAAGTCATATTTAAATTTCATATCATTCTGGCTTAAACATGTATATAAATGTATTCTTTTTCAGATGATATTGTCCCAAAATGTAGAAAATTTCAGTAAAAAAAAACAAAAAAAAACATCTTGTCTTAAAATCTTGTTTTTGTTTTTATCCGTTATCTTATGCAGGCTAGCTAGTTATACGTCAGTGTGATCACCTAAAATCGGCCAATAATTTTTTTGGTCATAGCATTTTGATTCGTATGTCGCAGCTAATATACACAAAGATTGAAATAAGAATCATTTACTTTCCCATTAAGTTATGTCCCAATTTTCACGGGTATGGACGTCTGTGTCTTCAGCAGGCGTAGAGCTAACAGAACTGGTAGCGTTGCGAGGCAAGGGCTCAAACATGTACGCCTGTAAGCCTTCTACACCAAACCAAGCTTCTGGCGCCCCCGTTTTCCTCCTCTGAATAAAAAGTGTTTGATGGAGGAGACTCATCCACGACCTCCGACACAAAACTCTCCTCCTCTTTCATGTTTCCGCTGTCCATAGCGTTCATGACAGTGTCGTTGCCAAGTCACCAGTTTGGTGCTACATGGTCCCAATGTAATTTGCCATTGGGAACCTACTAGCACTAAGTTGCAAACTGTTTGGCTAGATTCCTCCGAAAAATTTCGGCCACAATCAAACGTGCTTGCGAACCTTTCGCCACAACAACCCCGCCGTCTTGATCAACGACCCATCACATTCACTTTATTCACTTGTGTAAAGTCGTGCACCACTCGGGAGAATTCGGAAATGCAACCGTTGGAACAGAAGTTTCCCTACGACTGTAAATAAATGTTAAAATGGTCTGCCACTGTAGATTTCATATAAACTTATACATTAACTCGAGCAGCAATCTTATCTTTCTCTATCCTCCTCTACTTTGCAACTGTAGCGCTGCTGCTCTGTCTTTCAAACACATTCTCCATTTTTCTTTCCATTTCTTATTAAAATCTCTAGTTCCAGTGGTATGAAACAGGCTTGTCCTGTTGCCTGTTGTCATGGTGATGCGTTAAATCAGTGGTCCACTGATAATAGATTTTCATACTGTTTACGCGCCTGCTCAACTCTGACTGGACCTACTCAGGGTTACTAAACTAACTCACAGCAGCTGTTGTAAAACCAATTAACTCAAGAGTTTCCAACCTCAAGCTCCATTAATTTAGAGTTGAGGATTTCAGTCAGTTTGTTTAACCTGCTTTGGGAAACTTTTGAATGGGGATGAATACCAGAATTGACTTCATTCAGTTCTGTTTGTAAATATATGTATTCAGTAATTTCTTTAAGTTGTCACCTAAATAGCACCCATGAAGCCTTGCTGCGTGGTGAACCAGTATTTTGAAAGTGAGGATGTGATGACAGAATCATGGAGGGTGTTACACAAAACATTTGTAAGATTATAGAAAGTGACATGCTGTTGTTAAACATGGAGGTACGAAATGCTCTTTTTGTGTTCATGCACTGCTTGGAGCCAATTTTAAAAATCCCTGAGCAACAAAACCAATGTTGGGAGGCCTTTATAAGTCCTTCCCAAGACTGATTGCTGGATTACACTAAGAACAGAGAGATGCATTACAATTACCATCCACCTCATTGAAACAAGGAAGCACATAGTCTGACAGCAGTATGTCAGAGCGACATACCCTGACTTTTAATGACAGTTTTACATCTGCATTTGAAATCATCAGTGCTTCACATATTTATTTCTTCATTATCCAGTAAATCGATAGGTTCATTTTCTATGTATATCTTTGTTCACCTAAAGGAATCTTCCTGTTCGTTTTTCATTCCATTTGTTTTCTTTTACAGAAGAGAACATATAAGACAAGAGGGCGACCAAAAGGTTTGTGAGTATTTATGCAACTACTCAAATCATCTTTCTTAAGATAAGTAACTATTGTTTTTCTTTTACAGACAGTTGGTGTGAGCCTTTGGACAATAACACAGAGAACAATGACCCTAAAGACGCAACAGAAGCTGTAGGGAAAAGAAATGCAAAGGAGTTGAACGGCAAAGATGACAACCTCACAGCTCCCCCTGAGGAGGTGACCGTAACCAGTGATCATGAAGACAGGACTGGTGAGGTTTTGCTAGTAAAATCAATTCTTAAATTTTTTTTAATCCCTTATTCGTTAAATTTTTAGAATTTCATCTCTGGAAAAAAAAAAACATATTAGAAATATATGACCCAGGAGGGATGCTAAATAACTAGTCCATGAGGCTGGACTATTGTAAAGTCCATAAAATTTAGTTAATTTATTTTTATGTGTCAGCAATTTACAAAATGTCATCTTAAGCCAATTTATAGTCAATTCAACTAGGTCCTACAGACAGATTGGTCAAAAAGTTTTCTATTTATGGAAAACTCAGCAGATTACATGAAGTCTAGATGAGCATGAGGCGACGTTGCATTGTTTACAGCAATCCCTCACAACATGCTTGTAGCGACAGTAGAGAGGAAAACTCCCCTTAAATGGGAAGAAACATCCAGTTTAGTCTTCAGCTGATTCCAAACACTGCAGCTAGAGTTCTGATAAAAATTTAAATGGAGTTCATATTTCTTTAATTCAATCTCCCCTTCTTTAAAATCCTCCTCACATATATATAGCCCTTAATACATAGTATTTTAAAAATTATAGTTTTCCTCTTAAAAATGTCTATCTACACACTTAATATAAAAAATAAAGTCAGTTCAATTATTAATTGAAACTTTTTGGTTGAAACTGACGCAAATTTAAAAAGAAACTGTACATGGAAACTTCAGGCTTAAGTTTGTTTGTATTAAAGTATCTTATGTATGATATAAACAGTTAAAAATATTAAACGGAATTAAGAAATTAAATTTTTTTATTTTCCTATTTCTAAGGTTTTCATCATAATTCACAAATTAAGCTTTACCAAAATTTCAAACATGCAGAACTTGTTAGCTTTCGTAGCCATTAAAGATGTAGGGGAGGATTTTGCAAGTTTTTAAAAGACCCTCCACTTCAAAAAAGAAAAAGAAATGCACATACACAACTTTGTTCCCGCCCCTGAGAGGGAACGCCTATTAAACGTGTGTGAGAGCATGCACGATTTCTCCTCGTGCACCAGGGTTCCCTTAAAAAAGTCTTAAAAGGCATTGAATTCTTCAAAATAAAACTAAGGCCTTAATTAGTATTAAAATGTCTTAAATCAGTCTTTCGTAGATCTTAATTTTTAAAACATCATAAATAGGATAATTTTTATTACGATTTATTTTTGTAATCTAAATAAAACATGAAAATTGACAATTTTTTATTTTTTTTATTTTTATTTTTTTAAATAACGACTCGCCATTATTGGTTCAGTCCCGATAGCGGAACCAATAATAGCGTTGTTGCGGCCAGGACATTTGGGAGATGCGCCATTAACTTTTTGTCTGGAAAATATGAGCAAGTGTAAATGTAACGAAAATTGGCTCCAGCCAAGAGTTTTCTCCTTGGCTAAAACCAGGGAACATAGATTAGCAACATAGATATGCAAGAAGTCATTCAAGCTCGGAACGGTGGGAATTAAGGCATTGGAGTCACATGCAAAGCGCGAAACACAAAGTGTCAAAATCGGGTTACCGAAAAACAGCCGGTATTTCTCGGTTTTGTTCCACCCTTGTCTCTGCATACTAACATACTAAGAAAACGATACAAAGAAAAATAGCTGCAAAAAAGACTTAGCACTGGTTATGTTGTGGCTTTAAAACAGATTTGTTTTGTTCCCTGCTAAAACAAAGGTTGTGAATTCAGTTAAATAATTATTAAAATATATCTGTCATTTGTGTGTTTTTAGCTTTCTTCCTGTATGGAAAGTTTTTCAAAATTTGAAACATTAGTGCAGTGGTTTATGTAAAAATAAACTTTTGGGTAAAGTTGTCGCAAGCAGGTTTCTCTTGTGTTTCATGTGAATTTGGTCTTAAATTTTTATTTCAAGTGGCATTAAAAAGTCTTGAATTTAACTTGTCTTATGCTGTAGGAACCCTGGTGCACGCTCTTTGCATTGTTCATACAACTTACTTTCAAAAAGACCATTTGCAAATTTTCCACTATGTCAGACTCTCCATCGGTGAAAATGGGGACGAGAACGTAGGACGGCTTTATGTAAACATATCGCTAGATGATCGACAGTTAGGAGGACCACTTATTTTGATGATCCGATGATCCACCTGGAAAAAGAAGATCCTCCACTATACCATTAACCTTTTACACTTCTCTCACATATGAAGTTCCTTGATCAGTACTTATGTTGCTTTCGTATGTCTGCTCACTCTTCTCAAACTGCCAGCTGGTCCAGAAAGCTTGGCATTCAAACTCAGCCTGTTTTTAACTGGAATTTTCTTCCTGTTCAAAGTGAGATTTTCTTCTCCTGTCGCAACATGGATGTTTGGTATTGGGGATTGTTGCGATGTCAACAACACATTTGTTCTGGCAAACTGCCAGGGAGCCAAGCCCCTCTGCTGCACCTTTCTGCTCTTCTGCTTGTTAGCAATCAGAGAATGCAGGTACTTCTGGTGTGACTGACCTGTAACTCCTGTTGGAGGAAGTGCTCCAGCATAAGAAGCAAACAGAGCTGGTAGCACATTAGCCTAGTGAACTAGTGCCACTCACCAGTGGCCAAAATCATTTATGCATGCCAGTGGTCTAGCCTAGATCAATGCCACAGGCTCTAGAACTGGCGGCCCAATCATAACACAGAGATGCGTTTTGAATTTTTGGATGCAAAGCCTTCGGGGTTTTGACGTGAGCAGGAAGAGGCTCTATGCTCATTCATTTTTAAGAAGGACGTATTCACTGTTTTACCAGCTTTCTGTCGTGCTTACTACGTCACAGTCAGTTGCGCTCATTGGTCAGAGCGTTGGCCAATAGGCACAGACAGTTTGAAAAACATGTTTTCATCAATAATCTTCCTATTTCTCATTCATCGGGGCCAGAATAAATTACACATTTAATCTGGTTTATCAGGCTATTAGCACATGTAAATTTAGAACTGTGCAAAAGTTTTTTCAAGGATAGTGCTGTTACTCATTTGCAGAATCTCATTGGAGCAGCACAAATACTCTGATTATTGTACTGAACAGTTTTAATATTCAAATCAAGTGAGTAACTTAAAAATAAATAAATAAATAAAATGAAATACACTTTGTGGTTATTGTTTATGGTAGAAAGTAAAAATGAATAAATGTTGAATAGAATTTTGACTTAAAATGTTGACAAATAGCTATTTAATTTATTGGTGTTGAAATTTACCATAGCATGTTTGCTATTTATTATACTTTTTGAATGATTGGTTTAATAGGGTGGAAATTGGTTTTATTTCACTATATATTTATGTTGTTAATTTTAAAATGTAATAGCTGTGCTTCTGTTTGTTTTGAGTTTTTATTTTTTTTACCTCTATGACTGGAAGTCTAAAAATGTTGACCATCATACAAAGATAAAGATGGATCAGCTAAATTGAGGCTCTTTGAGTGAAATCCAGTTAAGTTTCATAGTAGAGACTATCCCTTTCAAGTTGGGAATCACAAAGTAAACCCGACTTAAAAACAATATTAGCGGCTGCTGACCAGAGGAGTTTATTGTACAAAGTCAGTGAGTTAATACAACAGCGTTAGTAGTAAGTAATATGTAGGATCTATTTAGACTGACTCTGGAAAGTGTCCTAAGATGCAGTGTTGTGTCTTGGTGCTGTATAGGTAAACTTAAGTTTTTATGTATCCCTTTATTATTGTAAAAATATATTATAATACGCAAAATTCTAGGAAACACAACAGAAACCAATGGATGCAGAAAACTGTCTGTAAAGGCAGTGAAAACGGTGATTTAAATTGTATATTTGTCCTTGATTTTTACTGCACAGAGCTGCCTGCTGCACCCCTAAATCTGACACTTTGTGTTAACGACGATGACTCTGATAAAGCCGAATCCGAGAATGGAGAAACAGAATTGGAAGGATTAGGGACAAGGTAAGATCAAACTGCCTTGACACTTTTAATACCAGCAAAGTATGTTTTTTACAGGATATATTTTTCTTTTTCTCCCTGAAGCATCCAACTCTCAAATGGATTTCATGCCTCTGAAATTGAGACCAAAACTACAGCGGTCTCTGGAGGATCAGATGTGGATTCACTGGATCTGGATCAACTGAAGAAGGAAAAAATAAAAATGCAGCTGAAGGTTTTAAGATTGCAAGAGGAGTATTACACGTTGATGCTAAAGGACTTAAAAACAAAAGATCTGAACTGCTCAAATGAGAACTGATTTTCTGACTACAACTAGGATCAGTAGAGCTACAACGAGTATTTGAAGAAATTAGTCATACTGACACATCGATTTAGTTGATGTAAATTTTAAATTCAAAATGTGAATTTTTATGTTTTTTTAAAACTTTTCCATTTTAAATGTGTTTAAGATTGAAGACCACTTGTTTTTCAGAGACCAAAGTAATGGTTTCAAAGTGTCCAGCTTATAATACAGTTCATAAAGTGCAGCTTTGTATGGTGATTTATACAATGATGTGGAAGTAGTCAAAAAAATAGAAAAACCCATCAAACCGGCACTCCACAATGATATTTTAAAGTATTCTTCTACGTGTCCAGTTGAACCCGTTACTGGTGAATGTTGTTATATAAGCTAATTCATAGCTAGATTTGTCTCCTAGCATTTATTTTGTTTACTTCTTTGGTTCAGCATGGTAACTCTGATACTGCTAATCTGTTTTTGTTTTACTAAAAACGATTTAGGTGTTTTACTGTAATACAGTTCTCAAAAGGTTATACACTGTTCATCATAACAGATACAGATGTAACTTGTTCACATTCAAACATGATTTTCTCCATAATTTGTTGCCTTTTATCAATGATGGAGAGAAAAATAGAAATCCATAAGATAACGAGGCACCTGCTTACCTGCAATAAGCTCAGTTCAAACCAAACTTTTAACAGTGTTAGCATGATTTTATTTTATGTTTTCTTCTGTGGTAGCTGCAAGAGCAGTGTGCAATCCTAAAAAATGTAGCTTTTATCTATTTTTTTATTTTGTGTCAGGGTTTTTGTAAAGTTTCTAAACGTTGTACATGTAAAGCTGTGCATGACCCTCAGAGGGTTTCTCTCATTACTTTAACCATGTTGGATGCATCAATCGGTTTGTTTTCAGTTTATTTTTAATGTGAACTAAATCACTTTGAAAAAGTGAACAGCCAGAGTTTTTCTGTTGGTGCTTTCCATCCATTGTGCTAAGCATTTATTAAAACACTCGGATTATATGTTGCTTGTTTTTGTTCCCATTCATTTCCTCCTTATGTTAAACGCTAAAAGTAAACCAAGTTTGCTGCTCCTGTTACATCACGTTTCTATAATGACTCATAGCAAGCACTTTTACTGAAATAAGACCGTAATCTATAAACATTTAGCACACCAAAAACCATCAAATTGTGCAAATTGTAACAGTGAAAATCAATTTAGCTAAATGGAACAGCAGTTCAGATTACCCACCCTTTTTGGAGTCCTTAGGGGGGATACTGAAGAGTGCCTCTTCTGGGAACTCCCTTGTTCTTCTGGGGGACGTCAACTCTCAATTGAACTGGAGTGGTGTTCTGTTGTTGGACTTCTGTGCTCTTCATGGATTGTCCATAACCAACATCTTGTTCAAGCATAAGGGTGTCCGTATGTGCTCTTGGCACCAGGACACCCAAGGCCGTAGTTCCATGATTGACTTTGTTTTTTCATCTGATCTACAGCCGAATGTGTTGGACATTCTGGTGAAAAGAGGGGCAGAGCTCTCCACCAAACACTACTTGGTGGCTCAGATGGTGGGAGAGGACGCCGGATAGACCTGGTAGGCCAAAAAGTATTGTGAGGGTTTGTTGGGAACGTTGTGAGACGGAGCTTTAACTCCCACCTCTGGGAGAGCTTTCCGAGGGAGGTGGGGGACATAGAGTCTGAGTGGACCATGTTCCATGCCTCTATTGTTGAGGCGGCTAGTCGAAGCTGTGGCTGCAAGGTGCATGTGGTGGCAGCTATCCTCGAACACGCAGGTGGCTCGGCTGGTCGCTGAGGCAAAATTCGGTTGGGAGAGGCCAAGGAGAAAGACTTCTGTACGACTTCAAAATAATTCTGGCATCTCAGGAGGGGGAAGCAGTGCAGTACCAACACTATTTATAGTAGGGGTGCTGTGCTGCTGACCTCGACTCGGAAGGTTGTGTGCCGGTAGGAGAAAAGCTTCGAAGGCCTCCTTTATCCCACCTACACGTCCTCCATTGAGGAAGCAGAGCCTGGGGGTTCCGGGTCGTATTCTCCCGTCTCTGGTGCTGAGGCCCCAGACATAACTTTAGAAAGATTCAAATTAAACATCAACTACAACTGTGATTTTTGCCAACTAGAACCAGAAACCATCATCCTCCTGTTTTACTGCTGCTCCTACTGTAAGAAGCTGGACTGAATTGGAGCAAGAATATTCAACTTGATCACTACTGTTTTTTTCTTCTGTTTATTCTCCTACTTATGTTACTTTGTTCTTACGTTTGATTATATTTCTTTGATTTTTTTTTTGAGTAAATATACATATATACTGTACGGTCAATAAAAAACAAAACATTAACTGCTGCCATGCTGTTTTTAGACTAATCGTGCAGACCAACATGTTCACATGCAATTTTAATTGTATTTTTAAATAGATGGAAATACCAAAACTGTTTTTCTTTTTGCAAGAGAAAGACCAGACATTACGGAATAATGAAGATGAATCAGAATGCGATTTAAGACCACACAACTCAACAGCAGAGTTTGCATAATAGTCTGAAAGGATATTAGTGAGAGATGTTCAGGCAGTGAAAACTGGGACTAAGGAAGGAGGAAGAGTAGATGGTGGAAATGATGGCAACTATGGAAGACCATTCTGAGGAAGAACAAGATGATTAACTGGATCAGGATATAATGGAAGAGAATGGAGATGGTTTTGACAACCCTAAAGATGTATGTGGTGATGTTTCCTACACAAATCACTAAAAGTCTATTTAATCTGCATTGCATTATAACTGAATAATAATGGATGTTTTAATACGCATCTTCTCTTCCAGAAGTTGATCCATGTTTGATTATTTTAACACCAGAGATTACAGAAAATATGCTGAAAAGGATGCCAATAGTTGGACAAAAATGTTTTTAAGTGTGTGTAAATTAAGAAAGAAAATTACTGTGGAAAGCATTGGGTGACTGTAAATGTAGCATGGCTTTTTGTTAAGTAGGAAGAGGAGAATAAAAAAAAAAAAACAGGCTCAGAAATAACGCGACCATGAAGTTATTCCCAAACTGCTTTGAAGATCAACACCTTCATTGTTTTTTTTTTTGTTTTTGTTTTTTTTTTCACAACAATAACAGTTAAAAATTTAAAGTAGCCTGCTACAACCTGAATTGAGGTTAAGATAATAACATTCAAAAAACATCCCAGGAGATGGAGTGTTTTACAGCCCATATTCCTCCAGATCCGCTGGATCACAAGTTAATCTGTGACACTCTGCAGATTCTGACGCTTTCAGATCCTCACGATGCATTTATTTGATCCCCAAACTTAAATTACTCATAATATTTCACATTATCCACAGACTACAGGCGTGTGTTGGATAGATATTAGGCCAGGATAAATTATAACCTTTATATTGACCCGTTTGTTTACATTTGCGGCATTTTGATCGGGCAACCACGCAGCCATCTAATCTCTCCAAACAGCTGTGCTGTGGACCCCGTCACAAATTAATCTAGCTCTTCGTTTAAGAAAATCTGCATTTTTATACAAGATAAAACATCAAGCAGTCATGGCGACTCATACCCACACCATAGCGGTAGCTGCTAACTTTGGGATTTAAATTCTACTGTGAAAACAGAAAAAGTAAAGTTTCCGCATCAACAGGTATGTGATTCCGATTCTGCAATGCGCCTAAGGAAATACATTTTACCCCCTTTTTACATATGGGGCAGTAAAACCAGTTCAGCAGCAGCCCGCTATGGTCTCATAACTGGATATTATAAACAGACTGAACACAATAGCAATAAAAATAAAGGAGTTTGACCTGATACAGTTCATCATACGGGACAGAGTTTTGGGATCCACTAAAAAGCAACAACACCGTAGTAGAGACTTGTATTTGTGTCCAGACAGGAGAATAAAGGAAATATGAGAGCATGGAATCTAAGAAAATAACTTTTTGTCAATATTCAAAAAATAAAGTGGGAATAGTTGGAAGGATGAGAAGCCCAGTTGTTCTGTTTGCAGTCAGTTTTTCTTGAAAAGGTGCTGCTTACACACGTGCATTCTGAATGACAGGCCTCATTAATGGATTTATTTTTACATTCAGGAATTTAGAAAGTGGGCGGACTTTATTGTCCAAGCTACAGGTTTTCATTTATAGCTTATCGTTCAACAGGAGAAATGACTCCAGTGTGAGACAGACTTTTATTTGTATTTTTTTCTTTACACTAGTGAACGACGCTGTTCTCTGTGTGGGATTCTTTGCACTATTTGCTTTGCTGAGGATACAAGTTCTTTAACACATCGTTCTAATCTGAAAAAACAAAACAAAACGAAGTTAATTCATTAAATATGTCGGTTGATTCTTTTGGGGAACAGTTTTGTTACGTTAGGAATATTTTTTTCGCCAGGCATCAACACAGCCACCTAAGCTTCAGTATCATCTGCGGTGCGCATAGATTCTAATCAGTTCGTCCCCAGTTGATCTGTCACACCGTACAGACCTGTACAGAGGGGAAAGGATGACTTTAATGTATCCTTCTTTCAGATATCCTTTTCCCCTTTAAAATATTGTAGAATATACATTAGACTGTGAGGGTACAGAGTTTATTTGACAAAAAAAATCTGATTTAATCTATTACTCTTGGTCTTTTTTTTTTTAACACATCTCAGTTTAGCAGTGCTCTTTGAAATTGTTTGCTGATTGCGCAAACTTGTTGATCCCTGTTTGGGGTTTTGTTTTCCTGCGTGTGAGAACACTACTTTTTTTTCAAAATCCTCAATTGTAGTGGGTGAGAAAGGCATATGACACAATGTAAATAAAAGCCCTGCTATTTTCAGATCACAAAACGTTTTGGCATGCCATGATATGACTCATGTGGGAGGGGGCCGGGGACATCTCTGCAACTTAAGTTTCTGTTTCATTTCTTCTTGTTTTTCAGTGGAGGCAAGACATTTACTGTTGAGGTTTTCTTGGGTTCTCAAAGCTTTTAATATTCGAGACTTGTACTTAGGGAGAACAACTGACAAGCCAGCAGAACCACAAGCCAGCACAAGTAAGCTCCCATTTTGAAACTTTGAAACAAAACTAGATATAGTTGTTTTTTTTTTTAGGAAGGCTTAGTTGTTTGACACAACTTGATTGTTATGAGGTTTTTAACAAACCTGTTTAGTTTTCCAGTCAGAAAATAAGTCGACTATAGATTAATTGAATGAAACGAATAAATTCATGACAGGGTTCACGGCAGCAGTTAGTCAGGAAATTAAGCAAGCCATGGCTTTAAAAAACCGCTGCAGCTGCAAAAATACTAGCAGTTTTGTTGCAGGTTGCACTAGAGCTAGAACAATAGCTCTAAAAAGATTACTTAAGTGTTTTGTCTTTTGTTATATTTGAAGTGTTTCAGGTACTTTAAAAGGTAATTGACATCAGACAGTGATAACTTAAATAAATACAGGAAGTAAATATACAGAAACCCCTTCTGCCTTACTGAAAAAACATCTTTCACCTTTTTATATCATAGATTATCTGTCATTTCCCTCTTCCTGCAGGAAGCCAGATCTAGTTTCACTAATCATATTCAGAGCTGATTACTGTTAGGCCTGTAGAATCCAGAACTCTGTTAAACAGAAACTGACAACAGGAAGTGGGCTACATATTCAAAATATCAACAAACCATGCCTAGATTTGAAGGAATTCAAGAACACATCAGAAACAAAATCTGTCATGTGCAAGGCTGAAGCTTAAGCAAACCACATTTAGAGGCTTTATCCACAGATGGATAACAAAAGAATCAGAGGTTAACTCACCCATGAGATGCCGGCATTAACAATTCATCCTGGAACCCAGACCACCTCAGTTAAAGTTCCTGTTAAAGAGACTGGTCAAAAATGGCATCCAAATAGGTCCCAATCCTAAAGCATTGCCGTCTAAAGAGAAAAAACTCTGTCATACCTTACCTAGAAATATATTAATGAGCGTTATGTGTTTACATCCCTTCCATTTGTGAACATTTTCCTTTTTAGGGCAGACTATATTTATTAGAAGGACGTGATGAAGAGGAGGAGCTCTTCATTAACATCCATTGGTGAGCAAGAGGAGGAAGGACAAAGATGTGACAGAAGACAAAGCCTAAGAAAAAAAAAGCGTGTCCACTACAAGGATCCTGACGACAACAATGAGGATGATGATGATGATGATGATGATTATGATGATGATGAGGAGGAGGAGGAGGATGAGAATTACGACGATACACCACCATACAGTTGGGATAAAGGTGCTATCCATACCTTTTTTTTTTTAACAACAAATGCAACATTAAGCATTTAAACACATATTTTATACTGAACTTAACATTTTATTAGACTGAACTATTAATAAATATTTGGGAAAAAACTACATTCGCAATGGATGCTTTATGAGGCTTTCCTGTCTCCAAGATGTAGAAATGTGGCCTGTAATCTGTGGGAGCAAAGAGGGAATGATGGACGTCAAAAAACTTGCAAAAAGTAAGCACACCAAGCTGTTATGAAATATGTATCGGAGTATGAGGGGTCTGCTTTGGAGGAATTCATAAAATGAGAAGTGTAAGGTAGTTTGATTTGGAGAAACGAGTCCTTTAAAGAGGTGGGATAAACTGTGATGGTGGACCTTTTTTTTTTCGTCGTCCTCCAAATAAATAAATAATTAAATAAATCAGGTTTTTTTTGGTTTTTTTTCTTTTTTTTAATGCTTTGTTCACATTAAGTATCTGTGGCTATGCTGTGCAGGTGAGGAATGTATTGAATGTGAGGGTCGCCTGTTTTCTCCACCTGCCTTCGAGGAATTTGGCGGAAAAGGTTCCTCCAAGAAATGGAAGACCTCTATATACTCTGGTGGAAAGCCTCTCCAGTATTGGTTTGATGTAATTCCAGTTTTATTCTGCACCTATTTGAAGAAAACACCATTTCTGTTTAATAAGCTAATCATTTCCTTTATCACAGGAAGGCCTCCTGGTCACAGGGAGGTTTAAAGGAGCAAAGACTTTCAAGGTAAATTAACACTTTCATACAAGAACATTTCTTTTTAAATGGTGTCTTTAATTTTTGTTTTGTTTTTCAAACAGAAAAGAATCAAGAATTATCAGAACAATGGATATAAATCATCATACACGACAAGACAAAATGGCTCTGTAGGAGGATCTAATCACTCAGGAGAGTCAGAAGCAGAGATTACAGAAGACTCCGAGGAAGAGGATATTAGTGAGAGACATTCAGGCACTGAAAACTGGGACCTGAGCATGGAGGAAGAGGAAGGGAGACTATCTGTTAGAAATGATGGTGACTATGTGAACTCAGACCATTCAGAGGAAAAACAAGATGATAAACTGGATCAGGATGAAATAGAAGATGATTGGGAGGAGTTTGACAACCCTGAAAACATCTTTGCTCCTAAAGGTGATGTTTCCTACACAAGCCGTTGTCCAAAGTCTGCTTATTTACACCAGCTGACCAATAATGGATTAGTGAATACACCTCTTCTCTTTCAGAAGCCGATCCAAGGTTGATTATTTCAACACCTGAGAAACTCGCACTGCAGATGAGAGTGAACGTTATGATCGAAAAAATGCCATCGGTAGGACAAAAATCTGTGCACAAATACTTCAGTTAAATACGATTAAAGGAAATGATGCAGAATGAAATAATGTTGAAAAAATATGAATGTGGTTTTATAACCAAAGCTTAATAAATAGAATAGAATCAGTTTTGCTCGGTGCGTGGCAGGAAATACCACAGCCTTGTTTAGATTTAAGTTTGGGAATTTCTCTTGTGAATTTTTTGAAAAACAGAAATTGTAACAGTTAAGTGTCAAGCAGCTAAAAAGTCCTAAATGGTGGAAGTGAAAAGTTTTCAGAAAAAATGTAAGCTTTATCTGCTAAAGAACGACAACTAAAGTAGGAGATACGGTTAACCTTAATGAAATTAAGAGAATCGTTGCAACTGGGGATGGTATAGAAAAGTAGAGATAGCAGAGATTCTCTAGACCAGGGGTCGCCAACGTGGTGCCCACAGGCATCAAGGGGCCCTCAGGGGCCTCGTGGGATGCCCACAGCCTCTTCTTATAACAGCAAAACTCCCCAGTGTGCTAAGTTTGACATTTTGATTTTATTCTGCTGCCCTTCTTTTATTATAATTTGTTTTATATTTATATAATTTATAGAGCATTTCATAATTTTAATCTCACAGAGTATTTATGCATTTAGAGAGAGTTAAAAATGGCAATATCATAAAGAAATTTAGGGGTTAAAAGAAAGATTAAAATATGCTTATAGTGTATTAAGTTAAAGGAATAGTACACCCAAAACATGATTAGCCTTCATTTTCTACTCACCCCCATGCTGAACAACACTCTGGAGTACTTT